ATTGTTATTATTATTATTATCATAATTGTTATCATTGCCATGATCATTATCATTACTATTGTTATTGTTAGTATCACTGTTTTTAATGATATTACCATTACAGTTATTATTTTTATTATCATTATTACCATTATTATTATTATTACTATTGTTATTGCATCTTTATCATTATCAAGACCTGCTATCAGTATTACTACTACTGTTACCTTTGATATTATTATTATTATCGTTGCTGTTATCATCATCATTATTATCTTTACCGTTATCACCATTATGATTATCGCTGTTGTCTTGAAATATCAGTGGCAATAGAAATAGCTGTTGTTGCTGTGACTGACAGGGTAGCAGCAGCCTCTGTGGCGGTGGAAGTGGCACCAGCAGCTTGGACGTCCTCGAGCAGCTGCAGCGGAGGGCGTCGCTTCGGCCAGCCGGGGGCGAGGGCAGTTCCCAGCACTTCTCTGCAGGGAATTCAGCTCCGCTGCGCAGTGAATCGAATTTCGTATGATTATACCAGACTCTCTATATTCATGCAAATTATCGTCACTGCATGGCAATCTTCGACACAAGTGTGGACGAAATGGCGCTTTATCCAACAGCTGTGGAAGAATCAATTACTGGATGGTTGTTATCCTTGCCAACAGGTCGTGCGGGGCAAAATGTCGGGCAAATTCATATTCGCCGAAAATTACTCACCGTATTTTCATAATTTATAAGAAGATTAAACTACAGCACATTTGGGGAAATAAATTAAAACGATGCCAGATAATTTGACACACCAGTGGCTTAGTTGATTAATTTGATTTAATATGTGATAATGGCAATAATGATAAAAAATGAATTATAATAATTATGATAATGATAAAGAAAATAGTAATTAATGATGATAATGATGATAACAATGACAATAATAATAATGATAATAACAATGACAATAATAATAATGATAATAATAATAATACCATTAATAATGATAATTATGGTAATGATAGTAAAAAAGATAATATGATAATATTCATGATGATAATGATAATTCCAATGATAATAATATCAATAATGATAGGAATAGTAACAATAATGATAATGATAATAACTGTAATAACAGTGATAATGATAATGACAATGATATTGCTACAACAATATTATCATTATCAACGATAATAATGGCTGTAATGACAATGATAAAACTAATGATGATGATGATGAAAATAATAATAATAATGGAAATGATGAAAACAATAACGTAAAAGATAATGATAACGAAAGTGATAATAACGCAGGAAATCAATAATGACAATCGAGGTACATAAACCAGGAAGCTCTACTCCCAAAGCCTGTTGAACAGTAATAATGACAATAATAATATCAAAATTAATAGTGGCAATGATAATAATGTAATAATGATAATAAAGATAGAAATAATAATGTTGATTACGATAATGAAAATAATAGTAATGATAATGATAATAATGATAACAATGATAAAAATCATTATTATAATAACAATAATGATAATGATAATAATGGTAATTATGATAACAATAATTATAATTATAATGGTAACATTGATAATGATTATCATTATTACTACTAATATTATAATAATACTGATGAAAATTATATCAATAAAAGGTATGATGATGATTGAAATAATAACGATGATGACAATGATGATAACAATAATGATAAGGATAACAATGAAAGTAATAATCATGACAATGATAAATATAGATGATGATAATGGGAATTATAATACTAACTATAGCAAGGATAGCAGTGATAATGATTAGATTTATGAAGAAAATGATATGATATGAACAATGACGATGTTAAAGATAATGACAATAGTGGCCATTATAATAATAACAATAATAATAATACCAGTGACATTAATGATAATAATAATAATACCAGTGATATTAATGATAATAATAATACCACTGATATTAATGATAATAATGATACCAGTGATATTAATGATAATGATAATAATAATGATAAAGAAAATAAAAAATAATGATAGTGATAACTAGTAATGATAATGATAATAGAAATGATAATAACGATAATAACACTGATAATGATAATGATGACAACACTAATGATGATAGTGACAGCAGAACGAGCCCCGGGGATTCCAAGGCAGCGCCGGGCCGCGCGCATCACAACAAGAATAAGAATGATGATAATAATAATGACAAAAAAATAACAACAATGCAATGATAATAATAAAACTTTTAAGGATATTACCCCAATGGCCTTGGTTATAGGGGTAACTATGCAATCATTTAAAAAGTTAAATCTAAGTTAGGCCAACACGCAACTCTGGTAAAAAAAAATGATAAAAATCTGTACGTTATCCTGCTAACCAACAAACAAACTAAACCATAACCTCCTCAATAACACAAATTAAAACAACAATTACAATAATGATGATCACAATAAATAATGATAATAATAATAATGATGATAATGGTGATAATAATAGTAATGATGATAATGATATAATGCTAATAATAATAATAATTGTAATAATAGAAATGATGACATTTAAAAATAATATTAAGTTATAATAATGGCAACATTGCTATTACTAATAATAATAATAATGATGATAATGAGAATAATAATGATGATGACGATGATGGTGCTAATAGTAACCATAATTATGATAATAATAATAATAATGATAATGAGGATGATAAAAAATAATAACAATAATAAAAGATAATAATAATAACAATAATTATGGTAATAATCATCATCATCACAAAGAAAACAATGATATTAGTGATAAAAACAATACCAGTAATAGCAATAATAATAATGGTGATGATGATGATGATAATGTATACTGTTCTTATCATTATTATTATTATTATTATTATCAAAATGATAAGAAATGTAATAATATTAATTATTATCATCATTATTATTATTATTATTATTATTATCACTATAATAATAGTGATAATAATAATAATAACAATAATAATAATAATAATAATAATAATAATAATAATAATAATAATAATAATAATAATAATAATAATAATAATGATGATAATAACAACAACAATAACAATAAAACTGATAATCCTAATAATGATGATAACAATAATGATAATGATGATGATAATAATGATGATAATAATGATATTGATAATGATAATCAGAGTAATAATAATATCAGTAATAATAACAGCAATGATGCTCAATAAACAATAATAACTAAAAACGCCAACAACAATAATAAACACCGGAATAATGATAATAACAATAATTATAATAATAATGATAACAATAATAATAATGATAAGTAGTAGCAGTAGTAATGATATAATAATAATAATAATAATAATAATAATAATAATAATAATAATAATAATAATAATAATAATAATAAAATAATAATAATGATAATAAAAATAATAATAATAATAATAATAATAATAATAATAATAACAATAATGATAACAACAACAAGAGCAACAAGAACAACAATAATGATGATAATGGTTATAACAATAATGATAACAACAATGATAATTATAATAATAATAATAATAATAATAATAATAATAATAATAATAATAATATAATAAAATAATAATAATAATAATAAATAATAACAATGATAATAATAATAATGATAATAGTAATAGATGAAAATAATGTTAGTATGATTTTGTAGAAAATAATGATGAAAATAATAATGAATATAATAATGATAATGATAGAGATAATAACAATAATAATGGTAATCATCATTATTATTATCACTATAATAATAATAATAATAATGACTAGAAGCACTCAAAGAGCGCACACCTCTGCCAGGGCAATTGGGTCACTGATGCAATATAAATAATCACACGAATTACATTCATGGTCCGAATCACCGCCAGAATTTATTGGCTTGCACGTTGGACTAAGAGGCACCTCTGGTAATAATTTCATACCAATTTGTTCATATCTTTTTGAATTATGATAACAACTAACCAACGAACAAACAAACTAAGCAATGCCCCGCAAAACATAACCTCTTTGAAGGAGGTAATAATAATAATAGTACGAACAACAATGATAATAATAACGATAGAATAACGATTCATTCGGTTTTAGGTCACGACCTCCCTCACAAGGGCGAGGACGGGGCCTGCGGCCGCCCTTGTGCGCGACTCGAACAAGCGCGCGCTGGGTGCCAGACCCTCATGGTCCTGCAGCAGATCTGACGGAAGCGCTGATGTCGTTATTCCGTTAAAATATTATCTGTGAATAAGAGCAACATTTCTTATTAACTAAAAGTAAAATCGCATCATCATCTTTATTTAAAAGATTTCTAGTAAGGGAGAGAGGGATAAGTCCACGACTCACTTTGCGTTTGCGAAACTAACGAACGCGGCCTTCCAATCAACAAACAATGACAAGCAATAACTAAGCAGCCTTTGCACGCCTTGGGTTCCGCCCGGAAGAGGAGACGAGAAGGACCCAAGGAGCGCAGCAGATCCTCAGACAGAGAGGGCCAGCCTTGGGGCCCCGGATCGTGTTCAACATTGGTGCTTTGTGAATTAACTTGAAACAAAACTAAATATTGGTTTTATATATTTATTGGGCAGTATTATATAAATTCTCGTCAGTTGGGAAGTGTTTGGCATTGCACACAAAATACAGAGAGAGCTAAGAATCAGCGCCTGAGCAACGCTGGCTGCCATGTCTCAACTAAGTGAATAATTGAACCCTTAAAAGGTGCCAGAAATAAAAGATGGAATTCAGACTGCTGAAGCAGAAGAAATGCAAAAATAAAAGCTTGAAATAAAAGCCTACAGTATAAGCTTAAAAGGGGGAACCAACAAACACCAAACACACAACATAGATCCCCTTGGATTTTGATTTCTCTCTCTCTCTTTCTCTTTCTTTCTATCTCTCTCTTTCTCTCTCTCTGTCTCTCTCTCTCTCTCTCTCTCTCTCTCTCTCTCTCTCTCTCTCTCTCTCTCTCTCTG